TAAAGTGGAAAAAATATACACAGGGAAATATAACTGAGATTGATCTGAGCTGGGTATGAGATTTTTCTTCTCCTGAATAAGTCTGCATGTGAGGATAAGAGGTGCGAAGGAAACACTGGTGCGTCTCACTACATTTGACACGTCTCACAGCCTCTGGCATCAGATAAGTCGCTCCGCTCAGAAGTATTTTGAAATCTCTCGGCTTATGATAACTCCTGTTGGATCCGCTTAGGTAGACTTGAAAGATTAATGTGGACCATTAAAAAGTGATGATAGAAGTCATAAAAGTTGACTAAGCCTATTTCCAAACTGCAGATCATTCAAAGTAGTTCACCCTTCAAACTGTTTTTGAAATCCTGCTGTTTTCAGTAAACTCTAAAATTCATTTTTAGTCGCAGGTTTTGAGTCTGATTGGCCAGAAATTTAACTTTATGGACTGTTGTTGAGGTTGAGCTGCAGTCACCTGACTGATTTTGGGCACAAGGGGCAGTCATGACTTGATCCACTGCTCCTGACCCCCAATTTCCACCACATGCGGTGATCGCCGCTGATTGTTTCCATTTAAGTTAATGTATCAATTTCCACCGGCTTCTTCACGGCCCACTGCGGCTCGCCACCAGGTTTCTATTTTTCCCGGATGCCGCAAAATTAGCCCACGCTGGAAGGGAAGTCAGGCACAGACACAAAATAAAACATCTGTCTTCTTTTCAAAATACAACATTACGTTTTTCGGGTGGATCACATTTCTCACCATGCCAACGTTGGCGAGGACAAACAAGTCAAAGGTATTTAAGCATTTCACCCTGTTGACACCATGGATGAGAAGATGCTGTTTCTAGAAGTCTTGAAGTGGATTTTCTCCTCTGGAAGGACACAATCTACTGCTTATACGGTTATGTGGCTGTCTTTAAAGAGACAACTCGTTCTAACGCGATTGCATGTGAATCTGCGGGTTCACGACTGGTAGGAATTGGCGGAAGGCAAAAATTGCCGCCGTTCCAGTGCAGAGCCGTTCGTGTGCAGAGAAAATTTGGGATGACTGGTTGGATGAATTTCCGGCACGTTAGAAATTTTGGCCGGGCAAAAGTGTAACCTGATTTCTCAAGCCTTTGTTGCATTTTAACACCATGCTATGATTACAATAATGTGGTTCTTGGATCTTGAGCATTGCAGGGAGTGCTACCGTGACAAACCGGAGTGTGCAAATGTGATGTTTTTCAATTCGTTAGCAATTTAATTTATTTCTAACGACTGCTATTTGATTTAAGCTACAATATCTTTGAACTGTACTTAAAACTTAAAGGGTGGAGTCTCTTGGATTTGGCTGTTTCAGCATTTTTAGAAATGTTGCCGTCCAAAAACCACGGGCGATTGGAGCAAATCACTTCAGAAAAGCAACCTGTTATATCACATTTTGGAATCAGACCGCAGTGAAGTGGTTTTCATAATCAAATACTGAGGATGTGAAAGTGTGTATTGGACACCTGCACATCAATTTCCTGTAGACAGAAATGAAGACTAAAATGAAAAGTGTTCCAAGAAGCAAAATCCAATATTTATTTAGTGTGTTTTTTTGATGACTTATTTACTTTTGTCTAAAATTGACATGTATCATTTTGCAGGTTCAACATAGAAAATAATTAAGTAGAGTACTTTAACTCCATAATGCTGGTCATTAATCTTAATTAGCACTCCCATACTTAATTAACTGTTTCACAGCTGTTTAAGTAGGATGGCAGTGCCCCTGATTAGTTTTTCTGTTACTCCCATTGCTCACAGGACGATGTTTTATTGACTTACCCTCCTGCCCGAGGCTATATTACTCCCACACACACACACACATGTGCATGCAAGTATATAACATGCATAATAGAAGAGGCACACACACCCATTCACAGTGGCCTGCAGAGGGGAGGTCGTTTTCAACATGTCAAGATAACGGTAACAACTCTCTTTAAACTTCGCTCGCCTCACTGATGTGAAATAATGGCTAATCTCTGCGTAGCCCTGCAAGAAACACACCCAGGGAGGCCTGTCAGGAAGGCTCAGTCTGTGTGTGTGTGTGTGTGTGTGTTCCCCTCCGTCTGGTTATGCTTGAGAGGAGGAGGCTGTTCAGCTTGTGCTTGTGCGTGTGAGTGTGTGTCCCTGAAAACGTGTGTAAATCACTGGTGGTATTAGAGAGCGTCCCGCAGTGTTTCTGTCTAGCTAATAAAATAACTGGAGGCTGCTTCCGAGCCACCCACAGTGAGACACCACCTCACTCCTTAATCTGCTGCCCCCCCTCCATTTCACTGTGACCCGACTCTCCGTCAAAACCCGCTGACCCGTGAGGTCGACATTTGTGTGCAGACCTGAGAGTCTGACGGTGTTTGGAGTTTATGTGCAGGAGCATGCTTGTGTGTTTGCACTATGTTTCTCAGAGGGAGCGTGTTCCTGCATTTCATGTGAGTAACCTAGGACTGGGTGATTTTGCAAAAAAAGAACATGATATATTTTGTCATATCGTCCGATCTCGATTACTGTCATGATTTTTTTGCAATTTTTTGAACTGCCAGTTTTAAAGCATCTGAACTAAAAACTAAAGAAACTAGAAATTAGTTCATCATTTTATTAACATACAAAGTAAATAACAAAGCAAATCAAATAAGATAAACTTAGAAAAATATAAAAGCTATTTTAACTCAACAGAGCAACAAATGTAGATAAATACTAAATAATACAGTAAACTAGTTTACAGTGTTTAGAGTGTTTCTGCAGGTATGCAAGACCCAAAATAAACAAATCTCCACCTCAGAGATAATTAAGACGTCTTAAACTGTAGACATTAGATGATGTAAACGTAGATGTTACGATTGATTGCTTTGGTCTGGTGGCTGCACCGCTAGTTGCGGCTAAACTGCTGATGCTTCTTGTGCCGTCAGCAGTGGCAGGCTGTACAGACTTTGCTCACATTTTCATGCTTTCTGCATAATCACTCAGGAAGAACTTTTTCAAAATGATCTGTTGTGTTGCTGGTTGTAGAGTTTTGAATTGATGCTTGAAAACCTAGCATTTAGTTACGTCCACAGAGAGTGTCTGTAGTTAGCCAAGCTACACAGTTCAACAAAAATCCACTCTGGCAATGCTTTTTGTGTTGAAGAAAAAATATAAAAACTCTTCCCTTTTATTTATCTTTTTAACACATTTTAATTATTATAACTGTATTTATAACCATGAACTGTTCTTCCGCCTCTACACCATTTTTTTAGGGCACTGACTGCCGACATACCTTGCACATTGGCGTGATTGCTTGACGTCACTTTTGAGATACCTGAACCACGGCCACAAAACCAACATTAATGAACTATTCTTCTCAACTATGGCATCTTCGAAGGATGACTCAAAGTCATGGCGGACATCTATTTTATGTCCCTCAGCTCCACATTTAGCTCCACGTGCGGTCATTCTGTTTACTTCTTCTGTTTAATTCTCCATCAACTTATTGAAATTAAGCAGGAAAAGCTTGACTCTGATTGGCTGTTGTCACACACATATCTGCTATAGTTGATTGAACTGAAATTTAGCACGGTCATTAATCACGATCATTCAATTGCCCAGTCCTAGAATAACCTTAAGTTTTCTTTTACATGTTCAGATTTTTTGCATCTTGATATCACACAGAGTTTAAGATATAGAGTTCGAAATCTGAAGAATAGATTAACAACAACTGCTTATCATGGCAGAGTCAGAGTTGGAGTACTCCACATCTTGATATTTAGGACCGACGGCTTAAAATGAACTCAGTCACCACTTAAACTTTGACTTGAGAACTGGGTCAATTTGGACTCCGGACAAAATAAGACTTATTAAGTGCAGAAAGACTCTGAGACTCTGACTCTGATTTGAGCAGCTGGCTGTCATGTGTCTTCATCTGTATGCCCATTTTAAAAAAACAGTCTTGTTAGCAGCAGCTCCTTGCACAGATTTTGTGTTTTACTTTCAGAACTTTCAGCACCACAAATTAAAGTGAGAGCTTTGCAGCGTGTTCAATATGTAAAAAAATCTTTAAACAGAAGACAGGGAGAAGCTCCAGCTTTAGCATCTGCTTAGGATGCACCCAGAAAAGTAACTGAGACACTGTTCTGCACTCTTGATAATGTTAGAGCTAATAAGCTGGGAGCTAATGCTGGCCTCTAAAGTCACTCACGTTGAAATTCTGATCGATATGAGGTGTGCTGCAGGAGTTTATTAGACACCTCACGCTTTAAGAGAGAGGCTTTGCTCATTTATGCACAACTGCAACAACTTTATTGATCAGTCCAACCCTGTGATCAGTCAGAATGTAATGTCAATATATGATTTATGTTTACCACACGTGTAAAATGCCCCCTGCAGGTTCATACTGTGATTAGTTTGGAGTGTAGAAACACCTGAGGATTCCTTACAGCTGGTTTTTAATCAAATATCTTCCTCCTGCACAGAAAAAGCTTATGCTTTCTATCACACTCTCCTTCCTTATGTAAATGTCACAGGAAGCCAAGACAGGACTAATCATTTTACCACTTAAAATCAACCACTCCTTGTGTTTTTCTCAACACTAAAAATTGGCGGGAGACTGTGAGTTGAGTTCAGGGGGTGACTGATCTTAAATAGAGAAAGAAGCAACCCTGAAATGTGAGATCATATCCTCCTGGCAGTCTTGTTTTAGCAACAACTCTATGAATAAATTCTGCAGAGACACAGATTTATCTCATGGGAACAAAAGCAGGTGCAGTAGATATATGGAAAAGACAAGAAAAGAGAAGATAGTATCTGTGTTTCCTTGTTTCTACCCTGCAGAACAGCTTGTTCCACGCCACCATTATCTCTCTCCATCGTTCGTATCAGCTTTGGTCATATTTTTTTAAACTGAAATTATTTTATATGTCGGAGTTGCAAAAAAAGAAAGTCCCATTCATTTTTATGAGTTCATGCATTTAATCAAGAAAGTTATTCTCACTGGTTTTTTTGTAAACTTTACTGTTTTAACAAAGATAAAGCACATTAAACATCTGAAAACCTTTCAAATAAAAAACCCATTTGGTTCAGTTCATAACGGAGGAGTCATCAGGTCCAGGACTGCTAAAAAAACTGTCTGCTTAGCTTCCAGATGAGGTTGCAGCTCCTGTTTGTTTGCTCTGTGTCTTCTTCCCCCCTGCAACCTGCCAGGTCTGCTGTTGATCAAATATGCGCTCTGACATGCCCTTTAAAAGGATGAGGAAGAGGAGCGTGTCAGATTTCCACCAAAAGAAGAATTTTCAAACAAAACAGAACTTGTAAAGCGAAATTATGATCATGCTTTTATTTTTCTCTGTAAAACCGTGACTTTAGGGACTTTTAAACTCTTGTCAAAGCTGCGTAATGCTTGCATGTGTAAGTGTGACACTACATAGTTTCGGAGAATGCCCGAGCTGCTTCACATTTTGAGATGAACTGTTTTCAAGTGGAAAATGCACTTGATTTCAACAGCGTTTTATCCGCTTTGTGTAGCGTGTTAGAGTGGAAAATCCTTGAGTTTGGGAAAGCCACGGGCTGCCTGACAGAGGCTAGTAGCTGTCAACTTAAATCCAGATCATATGTACGAGCAACTTTTGGGTCACGAGGAGCTGAGATTACAAAACAGAGAGGATGCACATTTCCCATAGAGCGTAAAGGGGCAATTCGCTGTTTACTCACTATAAATTTTATGTTATTTTTGTTCCTTTTTTAACAAGGAGATAATCCCATACTATATCAGTTGTAGCTGATGCAGTTTAATCCATGGGGCTTTTACAATCCAAACATGAAGTACAAAGAACAACAGATACTGCGTCTCTGTATTAAAGTGCATCAAATAAACAGTATTTATATTGATTTGTTTGTATGACATGATCACAAAAAATGACGGACAGGATAAGACAAGATTAGCATGTTAATTTCACAAACGTGGCAAAAAGAAGGGATTATTTAAACAATCATATTTTTTTATTCATTGAAACATAATTATTAACAAAAGGCATGAGGTATGAGGAAAACAACTGCATCAGGACTGAAGTTATTGTACAAAAGAATACAAATGTCCTGCTGATTCGGCCCAAGCTCTTAAATTCTCAGCTTCTCCTGCAAAGATTTCCTCTAAAAATGCATTATTTTGATTGTTGCCTTTCTGCGTTTTGCTTTAACTTGCATTCGGTGATCTACTTGTCAGGGCTCCCCCCACAAACAAGCGGCTGCTGTAAAAGAGTAGGTGAGTCGTGTTTAGTCTCTTTGCTAAAGAAATCAGGCAAAGTTAAAAAGATGTTTAGTTGCTAGTACTATGGCTAGGACCCTATATGTACTGTTGATGAAGTTAGGTGCTGTTCTGAGCATTATTTGTGGCTATAGAGTGGCTTTTTGGTTGAGATTTGCACGTGGAGACGTAGACCGCTGTGTATTGTTAGTGTGCGGTCGTTACTAAAGTTGGTATAACTAGAGAAGCAAGCGGTCAGAAACATTCATCTCTCGAGGGGGTGTCTAACTCAGTGTTAGGGTGTGTTTGAACCTCACTTAATTTTACTCAGGAATATCCCTTAAGGATGCCACCTGATGGCTGTTGGTGTGGTGGTCGAAGGTCAGCTGGTGATTGCTGCCCCAAGGATTGACCTATGTTCTTGGGGTGGACTCTTAATCTTCTATAGGCCAGCCAACACCCCAAAGTGTAGTTCCTTCTATTCTGGCATTGAAAAACACAACAAGATGGTGTTTAAAGAGTCCCATGATGCTACAAAAGAGGGTTAGGGCACCTCGAGAGAAAAAAATAATTACAGGAGGGAGATTTTTTAATTTTTCATTTTGAGATGAAAGTCGAAATTGCGAGAATAAGGTCAAAATTTAAAAAAGTCAAAATAAAAAAAAAATTTAATTTTGAGATTGCAGTCAAAATTTCAGTATTAAAAATCAAAAGTACATGAATAAAGTCAAAATTTCAAGATTTTAATCTCCAAATTTGGACATTATTTATGACATTTTGTAATATGTAAATTTTGTCTTAAATCTCTAAAATTTTGACTTAATTGATATAACTTTGATTTTTTTTAATCTTGAAATTTCAACTTTATTCACATAATTTTGATTTTTTTTTTTTTTTAATCTTGAAATTTTTACTTTAATCTCAAAATTTCGACCTTATTCCCCTTCCTGTAGTTATCTTTTTTCTCTTCTTGTGGCCCCAATCCTTGTTATTTTGATGCCTAAATTTTATTTTGTTTGACTTGGAATCTAAACACTTCCATAGTAGGCAGCACTGGGTTCACTTTGGCAAGAATATAACTAAAAGTAAACACATAGTTATAGTTTGCTTTTAATCTTGATTTAGAAAGCTATAACGTTGTCTTAATCCGACAGAGGTGAGGGAATCGCAGGTGAAGTGCATAACTGCCAACAGAGGACACAATATCAAACACGAAAAGACTTACTGTGTTTAGTGTAGAATTTCAGCACAGAATACCCAAATGCATCAGACTCATACTTATTTCATGCTGTGGGCAAACCTTGGTTCGTGAATATTTCAGTGTCCTATTACGCTCCGGAGTTGTATTTGTCAGGTTCTCTGAGTCAGACACTTTCAGGTTCAAACTTTCTGAGTCACACAGTTTCATGCTGCAATTTCCTGTTACTCTCCTCTGTCCCTGGAGCGCTCGATTCCCCGTTTTCTCCCCGATTCTCACCGTTCTGAAGGAAGCAGGGGCCCGAGTTTGACAAAGGAGTGAAGGGACTGGCAGTCACAGCTTCGGTTTCCTCTTCTCTGCCTTTACCTTTCTGATACACTCTCAGTCTCTTCTTCTCTACCTGCTTCCCTTTGTCCGCCTTTTCTTTCATCTGCTAACATCTTTTTCTCGATGTCTCATTGTATCCTACCCTTTGTCTCCACTCGTTCTTCTGTCTCCTCCCTTGTGCGCACACCCTCTCATTCTCCCCGTCTCTTTGCTCCTCTTTCCATCTCTTGTTCTCAGACTGTCCTTCACGGACAATTTACCCAGAGTGGCATCCATTCACCTTTCAGCCCTCTGGCTTTCAACACCATTTTTAACACACAACCCTGAAGGCTAAGAAAAGCTAAAAGAAGGAAGAAGAGAGAGAGAGAGAATGGGAGAAGCAAAAGACGGAGAATGAAAGACTTGCAGGAAAAAAAAAAAGAAAGCATTAAATCCATTTTTTGTGGCCTGGCTTGGGGAGATGGGGGTGTACAGTACTTGGAAGGTTATGTGTGTGTGTGTGTGTGTGTGTGTGTGTGTACTTCTGACACGGTTAAAGTTGTAAAAGTCGGCTCCTGTCCAGTGTATCACGCTCTGAGACAGGAGCACAGATCCCTGGTCGTAACGGTCCTGTCATTCAAAGCGTATCTAATAGACAGGCAGGACTGAAAGCAGGTTCTCTTACAGTAGTTTTGTGAACAGACAGGGAACTGCAGGGGTTTTTCTCCTGGAACACCTTGTGAAAGCTTTCTGTAATTTAAAAAGAGGGTAAAGTGGTCCTTTCAGGGCCAGGCACTTTTATTTATGGGGGGCTTATTTATTTATTTTTTTTAAATAAATCACAGAGTTTACAAAATCCAGTCTTTTGCCTCAGATAAATGAAAGATATTCAGCAGCATGTATGATGTTTCTAATCAAATATTGTTTTTTTTAATGCTACGTTAAAAGTACATTGTATACACGCATGATAAAAAAATTGCTAAAAAAAATCAAACAATAATTTGGGGAAAAAAAGAGAAAATTTATGTTTCCTTTTGCTAAAACTTCAATTTACTACAAATTCATGAAATTAAGATGAAGACAAGGAGAATCTAAAAAGTACAAGTAAGGAGTGATGGATAGTGGCTTTCCTTTGAGATCCTGCTCACTATGTCCGGGTTCTAATTTGCATAACCACCTGTTCACTTCACATTATACAGCCACTTTTACCTAGCTTCTATTAAGAAACATAAACAAAGTTGACACTAATAATGATTTAAAGATGATTTAATTGATCAAAAGCACTGTGAGGAACATTTGTCTTGATTTTGGCGCCCCCTGTGGACAATATGGCTAATTTTGACCTGAAAACATATTATTCTGTCTTGACAAAAAATGTCATCCTCCTCTATGGAACATAAAAACATGCTGTATTAATGATATACAAGTAATAATTCAGTCTAATACCTATACCCCTGCCAGTAATTCTCAGAAAAAGAAAAAAACAGAGTCGAGTCAGAGTTGAGTCCTTTCTTATAAAAGCAAAACATTTGAATGGTTATAACAGTATGTGAAAATAATACAAATTGCACATTTTCACATTAAAAAAATTACATGTGAAGTTGCAAAGCATCCAGTCATCATACGATGTGTGCAGAAATGTAATTATCAGCGCTTTATTTACAAAGTCGGAAAAAAGTAGCCAATGGCCAAACAGGGAAACGGAAACAAGATGGCTTCATCTACGAAACTACTAGGCTATGGTTAACCATTGTTAGCACGGCCTGCTTTGTAGTTTGCATATGCACATGAAAAATGTAGATTACACTATGACAGCATTTCCATATATATATACACATCTAACAATACTATTGTATACAGCTGACTTATTGTCAACAAATAGAAAAAAGTGTTAATAATAATACAAGGATAACAGGTGCTTCTGCTTACTGTGTACAACCAACGCCGCCATCTTTAAATGTCAACTCAGGGGTTGTTCCAGTTGAAAGTTCTGACTTGGAGCTCGGAAATCCCAACTTTCGAGTACAACTGGAATGTGCCATAAGTATCTAACTTTTAGTAAATGCATTTTCTAAATTCTGTGACGTGGTATTAATTATGGCCAAGTTTAGATACTGAAATCGTATTAGTACAGAAAAAGGTCATTGAATATGTCTCCATCAGATCACAGAGCAAAACTATCATGTTGCAAAGAAGTCCAAAACCTGAAGTACTCCCTCTACAATAGTATTCAGCAGAGAAAAGCAGGTTTGTTATGAAAAATGACTTTGATAATTGAATCTATAAAACAATCACACTCCCATATCCTGTCTCCGGTCTACCAAAATGAATTCTAACTGTGGATGAATTCAACAGCTTCCCAAGGTCATGCCGGTTTGACAGAAACCAAAATGGGTAGTTCATTTCCTCGTGTTTAAACAAAATACATTCAGTACACTAGACAACCAGAAAGATCTACAAGCCTTGGGACTGTTCTGTTTGTAAAGTGCATGAGCATGTCAGGTTCAATTATATACAAACCAGTATGCAAATATTTCCTGATCCACTTAATTCATCAGCATGTTTGGTCTGACAAGTGCTTGGCAGAATATGCAATCACAGCTCGTGCCAACCTGGGGCTTCAAACAAATATTCGGAAAAAGTACCTGTAGCCTAAAGAGACCCACGTTATACAGCCCTGTTTTGTTCCCTGTGTGTGTCCTCACCCGAACCGTCCTATCACAAAACTTCTCTGTCATGTTAGCAGCTTGAAATTCCCCTACGACAGCACAGAAACGGATCATGAAGTGTAATTTGGTTCCTCGTCAAGAAACTGGGTTACTAACATTTCCTCTCAGACTATGTTAATCAGTCTCGCTTTTAGTCGTGCCATTTTCCGGATACAGTTAAATTTAAACTGATGTACGGGGGCTGCAGGGAAAGAGCTGTACAATCAAATGAAGCAGAGGGAGGGAAAAGATATAACTAGGTGAGACAAGATAAGTCGAGACGAGACAGGGCAAGGCAAAGGGGTGAGGGTGAAGACGGGACAGAAGAGGACAGAACACGCGAGACAAGACGAGGAAAGACATCGGTTTTAAGATGCACATTGAGGTAAAGCTTAGGAGATGAAGTAAACACTTGTCCTGGTCTCTATCCCTTGATAATTATCGGCCGATTTACATGATTTAAATGGATTTTAGATGAATTAAAATCCAGCAGATACATCCTGTTATACCAAATTAAAAAGAATCTATTATACATGCCCTTACAACTATTACATCGATTTGTTATCATACAGTAAAGGGATAATTGTCGCTATAATGTCCTTAGGACAGATTAGTTTGGATGGGTGAGATATCCTTTCATATATAGTCTAATAGAGCAATAAGAATTGTGTAATCAGTTAGTATTATCAAGGTTTGACAGACTTATCAGGTCATTTCCTAATCGTGTCCCCACCTGATTGCCTTTCTGTTATCATTCCTCCTTCTCTTTTTTCCTTTACAGCAGACATTTTTACCAAATGTATGAGTGGACTTCACACCAGGGACACCAATTTCTACAATATATTACACTTAAAACATGAAAATGAAATACTAGAGAGCTGATTTTGACACAAAGTTGTGGTTAAATTGACTCTTTTTGTTCTAAATGAGAACCAGCATTTTGGGACAGTGAATAATTAGCTTTTTCCCCCAAACAGTATAATAATATTAAAAAATTCAGATACACTTCGAGCCAATCCCAACCGTACCCCTTGGCCCATGGTTTCACGCGTCCAAGTCAAGTCAAGGGGTGTCCCGATTCTCTGTAAGGTTAGGGGCAAGGGGTACACGGCCCCTGAAACAGAGACAAGCCAAGACCTCACTTGAAAGCAAAGGGTAAGATTTTTATATGATTTTCATAGCTATGACGCCGTTTTTCTCATATTTGTAAACATTAGCGTTGTTTGAATTGTTTGTGTTTTAAAATTGTGTGTTATGATAGGGTGACCATACGTCTTCTGCCTGTTGGGCCTTGTCAGGGGGAGTTTATAAAATCCATCAAATGCTTGAGGTTTTGAGTGGAAGTTTTGAGTTTGTGTCGCATGGACTTACTGAGTTAGAAGCATGTAAAAAACACTCGTTCCAATCCAAACAAATCTCATAATTAACTATGTGACTCCGTGACTCCGCCCCCCACGTAGTCATGTCCTCTTTTTGGGGATTCAGTATATGGTCACCCTACATTATGACAAGCTTGCTAACGAAGCTATAGCTATTGAAAGCTACACTGATGTCAGACTGCGACTGTGAACAATAGCTAACAACGGCTCAACGTGATAACAGTCGGTTGTTTTCCGACTTGTTTACTGGTATTGTTGCATCAGCCTACGACACAGCCAGCAAGCAGCAAGGCATGATGACGTAGTGGGAATCAAGTGGTGTCTCGTTTTTCAGGAGCTTGTTTTCACCCCTCAAAACAGAGGGCCAAAGGGAAGGGGTTGGACGAAGGGGACAATTAGGATTGGCCCTTAATTCAGTCACCTTTAACCCCTATTGGGAGCCTGCAAAGTCTCCAATGCTGAGCCCAAAAAATTCATTCCATCATCCGGATCCAGACCTTGGAGAGTCTGGCTACTCTTGGGCTCATGGAGCTTCACTAATCAGATTTATATAAAATATATAAACTGTAGTTTCTTTAGCAAAGCATGACAAACCACAAGGATGGATTTGCTGAATCCTTTACCTTGGTCTTAGATATAGGCCATCTGCATGTATGACGCTATCACTCTGGATGGAAAAAGCCAGACCCACCTCGGGGTCAAGGTCAAGAAGTAACTAACAAATGATTGAGCTCATCTATATTCAAGACAGTACTCAGAAAAACACTGCAGAGCCGAAGAGGTCGTACACTTCACTGTAATGGAATTTCAGTGCAGCTAACAATCACCTCTTCAATGATGTTTCTCGACACCAGCTCCATTCCTGCTTCTCAAGTTTGCAGTCAGACTGTTAACGATGCAAAAGAAAGCCTCAGCTGCTGGCTCCCAAAGCCTGAGAAGTGAAAAGTTGGCTGTCGCTCTGAGGTTCAAACCATTTAGAATAGAAAAGAGAGAAACAGGTACTCTTGAACACAAATGAGATATATAGGGTAAAAATGTATTCTTGGGGGGTT